TCACGTTTGTAAATTGTTCAAATAAAATCACTCTTGTTGATTAAAACGTAAATATTGTCAAAATGTTTTTTAAACTTGAAAAAGTAATTGTTTAAAATTCCAAAAGTCCGTGAAAAAACTTCTTATTCCTTTTATGGAAAATGTAAGACTTTGTAATATGAGTTATTTTCACCTTTTTATTTATATTACTGTTGCAAGTCGTAGATACATTTTCATGAAATTCATTGATTAAAATTCAATATTTTTGTCAATTTTTCAAAACTTCACAGTAAAGATTTCGAACTTAAAAGTATAAATTACAGTTTAAAATTTGAAAATTAGAATTATGCATGCTTTGGGACCTTCCGTCAATGTGATATAAATAGATCACGAGGCTCCCCTTACAGTACGCATCGTCCGGAATTTGCAACAAGGTTAGCGTAGCACACCACATAGGGTCAGTCTAAATCTTAACGGTTTAGATGTGCGTAACTTTCTTATAGTTGAGAGAGGACCGCCTCTCTGATAGTGGGCGCGGTTTAGACTTTTTAATTTAACGATCCGTCCTAATATTGTATTGTAAGTCTGCTGAGGAGTAGGCTGTTATCTTAGGGCTCGAATTTGAAGATAAGTGATGTTTGAATAACAGAGGAGATTGTGTGAGTGTAAGTTCAGTACTGAATATATTGAATGAGTTGACTAGAATTATAATGTGCGAACCACTGGCAAGCAAAGTATTTATTCATTCAAAAAATTCAAGAAATTCAATAGTGAACCCACACGGATATGATATTCGTTTTATCATATACCCAAGATAAAGACTGTTTGAAGTAAAAAAGTAACATTAGTCATTGACGCGCCTATAGTGTTTCGTCTTTACGCTATGGTTGACGTCACGTCAAAATAAATGCATGGTTGTGCAGCTCTTGTTATTATGTAATTGGTTGAGGGAGATTCCATTAATGGTCCTAATGGGTTGGTCTGCTAGCACTACTACTATAACAGTCATAATAGGTGAGAGAACTACTATATATATTATTCTAAAGGTTAAGAGAGAAATTTTGCATATTTTGCATAATGGGTGAGAGCAAAGCACTATAAAACACACAATGAGCGAGAGATTTGTTATATAGTATCCTAATAATTGAGAGAGAGATGTCATTATTTAACGTAATGGGTGAGAGGAATGAATCATACAACACTCAATGAACGAGGAAAGGTTGAAAGAGGTCATTATTTGTCCTAATGGGTGAGAGCAAAGCACTGTAAAACACATTGTGGGTGAGAGAACTATAATACATTATCCAAAGGGTTAAGAGAGATGTCATAATTTACCCTAATGGGTGAGAGCAATGAATCATATTACACTTAATGAGTGCGAACATTTTCAGATAATTATACTAAGGGTTGAGAGAAGTCATTATTTTTCCTAATGGGTCATTTACATGAATGAATTTCACTTAACAATGTAAGAATAAGTGATTTACATGAACAAGAAAGGATAAGCAATTAACATGAATGGAATTTTTACTGAATACCCTTCTATATTGACTTTTCTTTCAGAAGAACTATCTGCGTATGTTATTTGAATCTGTGATAAACACTCATCATTTATATATCAAGACGCTTCAATTCGCAGCCAAATATAGATATCATTGTCTGTGAATCATATGCATATTGTTTAAAACAAAAAGAGGAAAACATTTGGAAACCAAATATACAAGTTAAGTTTTGCATATAGAGATTATGTTATACTAAAATAAGCACAGGCATTGTTTTTACATAAATTTAATTATTCTGATGTCTACATGTGTATATCGGTTAAATCAGTATCAGAAGCAAGAAATTGTCTGTAAAATGATAAATAAATATTTAAGGATACAGGCGCAATCGACTGTTTCAGCGGTTTCCGGGCTTGTAATGTGTCTGGTGTTTGTTAAAGCATTGACGTTCCCTAAAATACACCGTGTAATAAAGGAAATAATGTAAGTAAATGATAACTATGTTTTTACTATAGAAAATGGCTTTATTTAAATAAATTCTATGTTCATATTGGAGTAAGATACTTTAATTGTATAAATTTATTGAAATCTAGTAAATCTTTCCTGGATTTTATTTAGTGAATATATAAAATATATTTGGGAAGCTGCATTTCCTATTACTGGTCTATTCTTATAAAAACTGCAAGTTTCTTTTTAATGACACTAGGTTTTCATACTGAGATTACCTGTCGTGTGTACAATTTAAAACTTAACATATTTTCTCTATATGTATTCAAAAAATATTTATTTTACAGATAACGAATCATCAGTTCTTCCAAATGTCAAATTTGAGCATTATATATCTTTAATTCTAACCCACAAACTAGGTCTAAATATAGAAAATGATATGCATTAAACAAAGTTCTAATGAGTTAAATCTATTGAAGCGAATTAAGTTATTGATATTTGACCTAGGCTTTATGAAATTTTTAACTGAGATCATGTCAAAATTTGCATTCATAAGTAACAGGGTAGACTTATTGGGATAAAACTGGTAAACTCGACATATTGTTGCAAAACGCATAAAAGTAGCTTATCAATTCTTAAGTTACGGATCTCTATTTATTTTGATTCATTTCATATGTAAAGTACTAGTAAATTATAAGCTGATATCTTCGAGATGTTCTGGGATACTGACTGAAAACAATTCTGTAGAAGATAAGCAAGCCTATGTCAATAACTTTCATTCTTGTTGTTGTAACATTTAGCTAAGATAAGATTTGTGGTAATTTTTTTGTTTCAGTATGTATGTGAGTATGGATTTTGTGTGAGCAACTCGAGCCAAAGCTTTAGCTCCAGCACATCAACAAGTTTGCAGACGACAACAGTTACACCTTCTACAACAACTGGATCCACCAAGAAGCCAGACGATTGTGTTGTACAGACTGGTTATGTTGAGTTTAATCTTCCAGGTTAAAAGATAATTTTGTCTTTAAGTAAGCACTGATCTGCGTAAATTTTAAAGAAGGCAGTGAAAATTTGAATGACGCAAGTAGCAAAGCTTTAAGGTTTCGTGTGATTTTTAAGCAGTTTTAAGTATCCTAGGTGGGGTAAAATACCGTACCATGCATTGGCAAAATGATATTTGTTGGATTTGAAAGTCGTGGATTGACCTTCCCACGAAAACGACGAAAACAAATGCCCCGCGTATAATAATGATTTTAAGTATCAATGAATAGAATAGAATAATACAATCACTTAATCACTTGTCCTTCATTGACCTTAATTAAAATCCCGTGAGTTACGTTGCATTTTTCCATGACAGGAAGCTGACCAGTCAACGTACTGAATTTTGTGTTCATTGTAAAATCTGAGGTCTCCTTTTACCAAAGCTGTAAAGTTACTTTACCGTGTCAGTGTGCTTTAAATAAAATCTAACAAAACAAACAAACTGTATCAGTAGGAATTTTTTATTGCTGCTACTTAGCATTGAGAGTTTACATGAAACTTGTTCCTACTGACTTCATAATGGCTGAATGTTTACTATTGAATGGTGTGGTTGTTGTGGAGGGTGTGGCTGTGAAAATGTGAACCTGGACTTCCGGCATATAACCAAAGTGAAAGCTGCACCAAAGAAGCTAACTGCTGTGGATCTCAATGTTAGAATGACAACATTGTAACGTATCTTCTTCAAAATTGTCGAATTGCAAGTTTTCAGGTTATCAGATAAACATTTCTACTGGTCCCTTTTTTGATGAAAAATTTTAACATCTTTATCAAAATTATAAACCTCGTTTTATTTTTTGTTAAGCAAATCTGTACTCAAAATTAATTTTTCTTTTTTATGCAACCAAGTAAACATTATAAGTATTGCATTAAATGCAGAATATTTAAATACTTATATAACGTTTATCATTTTAAAATACTTGCATATGATTTTCATAATTTTAAAAAAAAACATTTTATGAAAAAAAAAAAAAAACCCAAAAGCTTCAGTTAGATTTTTGTTCTTTTAATTGCCATGGTCGGCTGCTTTGATTCGTTTTCCAAAGAATGTCCAGTATACAAAGGTACAAAATAACTTGACAAGAACTATTTTTTTCTACTAAGAATGGTTCGAAAAGTAAGAGTGTGTTCCGTAAAGAGACTGGTCATACTACACGCATGTATGTGTTTGTCTTGGCGTATGCACTATGAAGTCAGCAAGTCGCACGTGCGTATTTGTCTTGGTCTATGCCCTATGACGTCAGCAAGTCATATCAGGATAGTCATTATATCACTGAACTTGTTGTATTAAACATATACCTGTATGTCCAAAAAGGTCCATTAGATACCAACAATATTCATGATTCATATTTGGACATTGCTTTAAAACTTATAAAATGCTATTTTGAGGTTCGAACCTGACGATTGTGAACTGACATATGTTGAAGGACCGCGGACATAAGTAATGGAAAAGAGAGGATGGGAAAACGCAGACACAGAGGTAACATCGGAAGTCTATCAAGACGCTTACAAACGCTGGCAGTTGAACCTGTTGCCAAAATCGTAACTTCTGGAGAAAAAACAAACGGCTTTATTTATGTTATTTCTGTCATCTAAAGCAATCAATATGTTTATATAATGAGACATTTTATAAACTATTATTTAAAAATGTTTCTTCTAGTGTCATCCTGTATTCAAAGCAGACAATTGTTTAATAAACAACAACAAAAGCCTTTTGTGTTTGTATTTCTGTGAAATAAAAAAGTATCTATCAAAACATAATTACTTTTTATTGATAATCAACACTGCAAACTATTACAATAAACTGAAAAAATTATACCCTGAGTTTTAAAAATTAAAATAAATATATAGCAAGAAATAGTCTGTATTTTTTTCCATATCTTGAAAAACTCAAACGTGTATAAAATTAAACTGTATTTAGCATTTTATAATCAGTTTTAACATTAATACTATTTGAATTCATCGTTTTAAATTGCTGTAATATCTAAAATCATCAAAAACTTTATAGATATATATTTTGTCATGTTTGAGACAACAAAAAGGAAGAAAGGCTTATTTAAAAGATATAGAAGACGATTTTATCTAAGTTTTTGTAACTGTTTTTATAGAAATTTATAATATGTAAGAATTTGAAAAAGATAGCTTTGATGAATTTTAATAAGTCGATCTTGGTCTATATACCTATTAAGGTTATATTGTGAAGCTTAATTAAGGTGTTAGAAAAAGGATTGATGTTGATCAATTTTGCAGTGGTAGGATCGACAGTATGTGGGTACTGGACTAAGTGTTCATCGTCCATCAATACCTGAAAAAGAAACAATATAAACGTTAACTATTGCACATTTTTATACTTCCATCAATTATTTTGATTATGATTTACTGCTGCGTTTCAAGCCACTGTCGTCCTGTTTTGTCAAGCCTATTCTATTTTGGTCATAAGCCTTTTCTGTTTTGGTCATGAGCCTACTCTGTTTTGGTCATAAGCCTATTCTACTTTGGTCATAAACCTATTTTGGTTTGGTCATAAACCTATTTTCCGGCCGTTCGAAATTGCGGTATCAGCTTTTACCATCTTACTAGTGAAATGAAAAAAAGTACGAATACAAATGATGTCAAAGAAATGCATCGTCTTTAGTAAAGTAAACCTGCACAATGATCTTTTTTCTTTGGACCCATGACTTTGCGAGCAAGAAAAGATTGAAATGTTTTAAAAAAATGGGTACTTCTTACATATGTAAACTCTATTTGTGGTTATGTTAAACCGAATAAATGATTTTTTCAGTAGCAAGTATTAATTAGTGTAATATAGGTCCAAGTAGATTGAAATGAAAACATGTGTTCAACTAGGCAACCCAAACTTTGCACTGTTGCACGCTGGAAGATATTCAATTGCCAAACACATTATGCGACACATCAAAGTAATTGTTAAGCCTTTTATACCGTCAGACGAATATGTCATCAACGCGGATATATCATACTTGATATAACTTAATTTTACCTTCTGTAATTATCTATAAGTAATTTGAAACTATATAACCACCTCAGTGGTTAGAGTCGATGACTTCTAATCCAGTTACCTCTCTGGCGTGGGTTCGATCCCCGGGAGATGCGTTGGTAGTTTAGCGCGGAGGGAGGTAGTCTAGTACTGGTGTAACTCTCCAGGAACGATGGTTAGGAAATTAGCCGCCTATATGACTAAAATACTGTTAGGAAAAGGCGTAAAAAGAAACAAACAAACAAACAAACAAAAATTTGAAATTACGTCAGAATTAAGTATAGAGACAAGTTTTCACTTCAATCTATATTTTTAAACTTTTTTTATAACTACATGTATTACAATAATCTTCTTAAATGCTCATTTGAGTATTAAGTACGTTTATTTAATATGCACAGAATCTTCTTTCTGCAGAAATCTAAGGGTCAGCACAATAAATTTCTGGACAATGCTTATGACAATGAAAGGACTAAAAGTAAAGGTTGCTGGTAGTATCATCCTCGAATTCCTTGACTCAAGTGAAAACACATGCTATAATATAGCAATAAAGAGCAACAGTTAGAACTTCTTGATTGAAATTTTGGTATAAAGACTAATTTAGTGGTTATGTAAAATAGCTGTAGATCCAGTACTTAGCGATTGTAATTTATACATGTTTTAGTTTATTAAAAGCCACAAATTTCACCATCTACGCTCTTGGATATCCGGCTTATACATATTTTAAGATTGGATAAATCTGATAAGCTCCGTTAGCTTATCATGGCTTACAACTTAAACAATACATGGATAAAGTAAAGAAATTGACATAAATACCGATAAAACCATATCTTACTTGCAAGACGTCTGCATGTGGTACTATAGTAAACTTAGTAACACTTCCTTCAGGAAATGGAATTGACATGCTTAATATGTTTGTCCAGCCACCTACCCATGTTTTGAAGATGAGCTCGTTATGCTGTCTCACAACCATCATATGTAGCATAACTGTCTCAGAGGCTCCCCCATACACGTTGTAATTAACATCTGTAGTATCCAGTAAGTTGACATCGAACCTGTATTAATAAATACAAAATGAGTGATTTAGAACGGCGACAATGGCTTTCCAAAACCAACTGAATAATTTAATACCAAAAATCCCACCAGACTGAACCTGGGTAAATCCCATATCATGATCAATCCACTTGTATGCTAGGAACGTGATACTAGTATATCAAAACCATATGTTAGAGAAGACTAAAATTCACAGTGTTGAAACGGATGTATAAGTACCGTTACGTGTGCACAGCACGTGCATTATGTAAAAGAAAATTCCTCATTACCTATCCCAAGCGCCACCATCTGGCGTTGTGATGTAAAATTCTAAGCTTCCACCTGCACCAAATGATCCAGGAATCAACCAATCAAAGACATCTGAAACATCTTTCTACAAAATATAACATTATATATTGATCAGTGTTATTGCAACTAAAATTATACATTTACATTTGTATATATTATTATTCTTAGATGACTTCGTATTATTACTTATTTATAATATTCGCTTAAAACTGCTTATTTGTAATGGTATTCGATGCATTATTAATTTACTTGATAATGTTGCCGATGGTATATATGGGACGGGAGTGTGTATTCAAAATGAGATGTGTTTGTCCGAGGCTAATACATCTGGTATATTCCGAACAAATTAACATAATGAAAATTATCAATATTCTCCTTCTCTTATAATGTAAGGTAGAAATCCCACGTGAAACAATTTCACCTTAGTTTACGCCACTGATTAAAATATTATGTAAACTTGCTGTTCATCCGTTGAAATATATTCGATTGTGAACTGAAACAAATTTTCTCAACTTTTGCGATTTCTGTAGGGTAGCTATTAAAATGTACCGTGTTTGTAATAATCTAAACTTGTAATTGACACGAGGTAAAAGGGCCCAGCAAACATTACGATGAAGATGCTGTAGACAAAAATTGTAAACATTTCAAATGAGATATAGACTTACCGCCGGTTGGTAGATTTCTATTGTTTTTATCTTCATGAGATAGGAAAATCCAGGGTCATATTGTTGGTTACTACCCCAGCTCCATGTTAAACCACTACAAACGCCAGTTACGTCATTGATTTTGGCGGCAAAGTATTCATTGTCGGCATACTTTTCTGCACACGCCCGTCTTCCTGAATGGGCGGTTGTGTCTGTTGTACGTATCGTGTAGTTAACAAACCTTCTATCCGACAAAACTACACGAAAATAAAATATAATATACACTGACAAGATATTACGGTAGCGCATTTTGAAATAGATATGTGGAACGAAGGGAATGGATAGTGTATATTAAGGCATAATGCTCAATTGCTTTTTGTTTGTTTCATTGTTCGGGTTCAGTACGCAGGTACATTTTGCAGTCAATCTCATTTTTTACATATTTGACATGAAACATTTTAAGTAACTGGCATCCGCTTTCATTGTGAACATAAAATACTGATAATTGCAGATACATCACCTACTTTACCTTATGACTTACACACTTTTAAATCATCTAAATTACAATGGTTATTGGTAAATAGTTTGTCATGCTGGTCCATTACAACAGGAAATGTCTGTATAGCAAATAATAGAGAAAGGAAATTCATAAAGTGAAGTTCAGTTGGTTAAAGTACAAATTGCAGTGACAAATAAAAGATCCTAGACTATTTAGTCAGTGGTCATTTCACGAGAGTTATAATTTATACCAAGTTTTAATAATTAGAAATTGTGTCTAAATGATGTGGTTTACAGTCCAGATCATCCTAAAATTCATTATGATTACTTTTAAATTATTTTGCATATTCTTTCCTTTTTCAGTCTTATCAAGTTTACTTTATCTCTTACATGTGCAGAGTAAAATAATTTCAAACAAATGAAATAAAAAAGGGAAGATGGAAATACATGTAGATATTTATGTTATCATGGGGACCAGACCGGTTTATCGATGGTTTTATAAAAACATGCACATTTAGATATCAGTGTATGACCTAAAAAATGACAAATTTTAACTAAAAAATAGCAACAACACCAAAATCATTGCTTTATTCAAATCCAAAGACGATTTTATTTTTAGAAAAGTAAGAGTTTTATAAGAATAAAAAATTGAATGTTCACCGAAAAATATAGATTTAGAAATAAATAAAATAAAATAAATAATAGTAATACAGTGAATACAGACAAATACCTTCAGATTATTGTCATTGTAATTTATATTTGATCGAAGTTCCATTTCCGGTTCCAATTTTAGAAAATTAACAGACATCATTTTCTCTTTTCGTATCCGTTTGAACAAAGTAATCTCACTGCCGCTTAATTAAGATTAACAACAGAATAAAAGTCACTATAACCACCACCACCACTACCAACAACAACCACAACAACAACAAAATACTGAGATCCATATTACTGCTATATGACTTTCTAGCGTAAGCCAATTATCAAAGAAAAAAAAACAGCAAAAGGATAAAAGATAAGATACATGAAATTAAATTTTTAATCTATTTGTTGCCAGTTATGAAAGTGGGAAAAGACTTACTTAAAAAAGAATCTTTAAATTGAAGAGGTCATGTAATGAAAAAACGTTTAACGTGTTTGTGACGAAACAGTTTCAACATACTTTTTACAATACTTGGTAATGTCCAAAAAGTTCACTCAGAATAGGTTCATATAATAAACAAATATATTGCGTATAATATACACGCTGTAAAATTAATTGGTTATGTAAGTTATATTATAAACGTCAATGATTGTATTTCCATATGACCAGAACACAAGTTGTTTTGCAGTATTTGGGTTAGCAAGATGTTCATACTGAACAGCCAATTCATCATCAAACAGTACCTGAAATATATCAATCAATATTAGAATAAACAGAAAAAGATAGACAAACGTTGTTGTTGTTGTTGTTACTTAGCGATGAATATATGTATACTTTGTTAAAAGAGTGTTTGACTCTGAATTATTTGTTTTCCATAAATATCTATGATACATGAACACATCATAAATGTTTCTGAGTTACTAGTATGAAGAAAATATTTCCACCTACATGATTGAGTTTATAGACATATTGATAGTTATAATAAAGCATGTGTAACCTTCTACATGTCAAGGTCTTCTTTTATGGTGTTGTGTTCTCAAAAAAGAAGCTAACGAATATATATAAATGGCTTTAAAGAATGTGACGAATTTCGAATTTGAAAACTAACCTATAAAACAGAAGGTTTCTTTATGAAGATTTCCTACCATTACGCTTATTATTTGAACTTTAATGATAACGTTTATAGAAACCTTACAGTTTAGTTATCTTACGATTTCATAATGTTGATATTTATATGTGTACGTTTATGTGTGTATTTAGAATATTCTATGACTATAAGGAATGATTATAATTCCTCACCTCCATTGCGGTCTCTCTTGGAACAATTGAAATCTTATGAGCTATTCCTCCCACAAACGGATTTGGCATGGAATGTTTGTTGTTCCAGGTATATTCTCTATATGTTTTGACTGTCAGTGAATTATAATTTGCTATAATGTGAACCATGATGGTCTCGGGCTGGTTATCATTAACATCGAACCCGTACTCTGTTGTATTCGCGACGTTAATTTCAAAACTGTGAAGAAATGTAATAGTGATAATTGTATCAAGGTATAACAAAAGTAATATAGATTTTGTCGGAAAAGAGTTTATTGAAACATATATATTTATATTGCTGACAAATATAAAGTATTGACTATTATTCAAGAATGACGTTTGCATAAAAAACCTCTATAACATAAAGATAAAGAAGTGGCAAATCTGACACTACTCCATTACTTTAATTCTTATACATGTATGTATCCGTTTGCTTGAAATTGACCCACACCAGATATTTTTATAGTACTTCATTTGAATAGAAATGCATGTTTATACACGGATTGTAATATCACCTAACTAAAAGAAACGGCTATGTTTCAGTGACATATCATTAATATGACCATGTGGACATAAGGTGCTTTAAAACATAAATACTACGTAACTTATATGAACTTGCTATATTTATAAAGTAAAAAAACTCATTACCCTTGCCAGTCGATGCCTATCGGCACAGATATATAAATATCTAACCGTCCTCCAACACTAAACGTCCCAGGTATCAACCATTGAAAACCAGTTGAAACCTTTAACTAATAAAAACTAACTGTAAAAATGATTGTTTTATTCAGCAATAGCGGCTATTTAATTAGATATAATAAATTCAAATGTTTGTATAGTACAAATTGATGTCGACACATCACCTAGGATAAATTGTCAGTATTATTGCTTTTATATCAGAAACTGTTATTTATATTTTACTATTGGTTAAAAGTTAATTTAAATAGAATGAAAATAGGCCATGTTAAAAAGATTTGTTATGTTCACTAGGTTTTGTTGATGCATGGTTCTATCAAGGTGTTGGTGATGATAAAATATTTTTGTCCTTAGTTAAATAACGATTAAATGACCAATTTATACAGAACTGGAACTCAAGATTATCAATTTTTAGTAGAGCTTTGTTTTATAGAAATACTTTTTCCTTTAGGTACCAAGCAGATCTTGATTGTTTTACTGCAAATAAATTTGTTCAGTACGTTTGAGACTACAATTAGAAGCTGGTAGGTATGCAAAACCAACCAGAATACCCTAAAACGATAAAAAAATGTTCAATATGCAATACTCTTGAAGACGAATATCATTTTGTTATTGAATGCTCATTATATACAGAATTAAGGAACACTTATATTCACAAGAAGTTTTGGAACAGACCAGATATGTATAAATTATAGAATTATCAAATTCAGAAAATAAAAAGTGATAAGAAACCTAGAAATATTTGTTGAAAAGGCTTTTAAAACTTAGAAATTCTATCATTTAATTATTTGTTAAAATTATAATTATTTTTGTTAATACCATTAGTAGAAACAATCTCATGTAGTCATTAAATATTAACATAGTGTCTAAGTATACTGATAAGTTAAATGTCTTTTTTCTTTAAACTATGCATACTATTTAAGTGATATATTTTTTTTCAAAAGATGATTGGTATATTCTAGGGTAACTTTAATACTTCATATATTATCTTTTGTCTATATGGCGAAAGAGCTATGACACATGAATAATGTTAAAAATACATTGTGTGGTATGCATATTTATTTCATTGTATGCGATGTGCTCATTTTGTTGAAATATCTCATTTTTATATAAACGTTTATGTAAAACGAACATATTAATGATAATAAGTCATTTTGAAATGTTTGTTAATTTATAACATATTTACCTGTCTTGTAGTTTCTTTTCAATAGGCCGATATGTTTATGTTATTACCATTACAAATGAATTAAATATGCATCAATTAAATTATATGTTTCTTGTCTTAAAATGTGGCAAGAATCGTGGATATATCCAGTACATGTGTATATTTAACCTATTATTTGATGAATATATATAATTTCACATAAGTTTAAAACTTTAAACATTTATCAAATGTATGTTTTGGATAACATGTATATCAAATGATACTATACATACAAGTAAGTTAAACACAACATTAATGTATTTATACTTGAAGAGTTCGCTTTATGACCTTCTCCGATATTATCATAATGCTATGTTAAGTAATCACTATTTATGTATGTTCACTGTTCGTTGTCTTGTATTATGCTATTATCATGTTATCATGGGCTTATAAGCCTTATATAATTAAAATAAGGCCATGTCTATATGAATGAATGAATTATTTATAAAAAGAAAGGACGCGAGTATAGAAACTGTTTATGTCTGAAACCAGGGGAGTTATTAAATATTTATCAGACTAATTTAAAACATCTAAGCATCTATTCGTACAATAATAATCTACAAAAATACTCAAAATCAAGATATTTACACATTTTAATTCGTAAAAAGAAAAATAACATACTTGCAATGTAAGAAATTCCAATTAAATCTGCTGGGAAGAAAACTGTCTATGAATTTAAGGTTAGCAAAAAAAGGTATTAAACCGTTAAGTTACATCCATGAAGATATTGTTTGTTGTGTGAATTAGATATGGAAATCTCGGTATCTGAGAATTTAGTCGGAGTCGTAATGATAATATATATTATACAGAGACTATTGTACAAACACTACAGTTATTTTCCTTTGGTTGCCCACACTACGGAAGTAGTTACACGAGAAATTGTGCCTATGTTTGTTGCTGAATATTTATGAAATTTTGAAAAGCATAATTGTACAGAGGAGATATGAAATGATTGATAAATGTGAATTTTGAATCAATTGAAAGTAAGCAAATGCACAATGTTCATTTTGACAGAGGTGGTTTGCCTGTTTATGGCCGTCATGACAGAAATCTTCAAACACAGTTCATAAAAGTGAAAATTTAAAAAAGGAGCCGGTCAACCCCTCATTTAAAGCACACAAATTTTTTCCATCGGTTAATTTTACAAAATTCAGGTAAATGCTTTTTGTTTAAATATCTAGAAAAGTGCAATTTCAATTGGAATCTATATAGAACATAAAGTAAAACTAACTGTAGTCTTGGGCCTGATATTTATCGAATATAATGAAATTATATATGAAAACTTTAAGGTTCTTTAACTGCCAGGATAAGGTAAAGATCTTAATATCGGACGCGTTGTGATGTAATAGTGCACAGTGTTGAGATTAGATGCGCAGTTATATAACTATGACGGTCATTCTTGTGATTAAACATTCCACGATCTTTGTTAATAAAGGAAGATCTACGAATGAAGATCAAAGTTGAATGCGTTATTGTAATGCTCAGATTCAGATGCGCATTAACGTGAGTTGTACTAAAACGTTAAAATAACTGATACCCTTGCCTATAAAAAGAGAATGGCTAAAGTATAAAAGATTACTTTTGATATCAATCACATTATTTGCTCATTATCATGTGACATACTTATAATATTTTACGGTGACTTAAAACACGGCTTTATTTACATTGGTATAGGTGTGTCTTGTTAAATTTATATTATTACTTATAAATATTTTTGAAAGGTTATATGTCCCTGTATAAAAAGTATTTTGCATATATAATATTGCAACCAACAATTTATATATAGAGGATATTTGTTTGTTTGTGTGTAAGATGAAATTTTATTTCATCGAGTGAGCTTTAAAAAAAGTATTCACGCGAGTGGCGTAGCACAAGTGAGAATACTGTTTTTAAAGTTCACGAGATTAAATAAAATTACATCTTACACAACAAACAAACAAATTTTCTTTTTATTTTATGCTTAAAAACAAGTTAAAACGAAATTACCTTGATATTAACTTTAATATTGAAATCTGTTTTTCCCAATGGTAGCCTCTGTATTTGTCGAATTTCTCATAAAATACAAGAAGTCTTGGGCTGAAAAATAAGTTCGCTTATCAACGTTAAATGGCAATGATATCATTCATTTTATTCAAATAATATAAAAGATCGTTTGTTTTAATAATAAAAACAAACAATTCTCGTAAGAAAAAATGTCCAACCATCCATCCATATTACTGTTACTTACGGCGAATTTATATAAGAATTGGATCTGTGAAATGTAAGCGGCAGCCATTTTAAAAAGTTATTTATTTCATAGGAGGAAAAATAATTGCGTTTAATTCAGAGGGATATCATATGGATTTGTTAGTCATACATCTTTTAAAAGAAAGAAAACTTTTTTGAGGATTGTAACAGACAATTAATAATTGTTAACAGATGTGTAAACATTAAAAAAACGACGAGGAAATTGGCACATATGGACTTTTTCAAAGGCTGCCTTACAAACCTACGAACGCTGGGTTATTTACTTATTTTCGGGCTGATGTCTGTCATTGCTTTTCAAGTTATTAGGCAGTTATTGCTCGTAGGATACTTAAATACCAAGACCAGTTCTTCATATGGAAGGAATTGTATTTTTCAGACTGTAAAAATGAAACAAAAATTTATAGACATTATTTGGTGATTGGTAATTTGAATGAATTTTTCTTCTTTTTATTACTTTTGAAATTTCAGTTATTTATCAATTTCAGCTTTGCTTTTCTCTTTACAGCCCTGACAATGTCAGAATTGTCAACAATTATTAAAACTGAGGTACGGCATGGGGAAAATCTTAAAAAAAGTATCATCTTTGAAAAGTGTGCAATTATATTTTGATAATTTTCACTGTGAAAATCACCCGAGGCAGTTATAGAGGAAATAATATTTACTAGCAAAACGACGAAATATATCCAGATATCATCCTAACATGTAATTGCAGGCCAAATTATTATAACTCCATAAATATTGAGCCAAAAAAATTTCTGCGTGGCTCGAAAGTTACAATTTGGAATAACAATTTGTCTTAAACTAAGGTTAAACAACACTAATTTATCATGACTAAGAGACTCTTATCAAGTTGTCTTTAAAATTGTTTGTTTGTTGTTTTTATATCGCCGACATATGGGTCTATTTTCTTTAAAGAACAGCACCATGTTTCGCTGTGTGCTTTGGCTACCAGGCTCTTTTACCGGTACATGCGATTGGCCAATTTGACGACTGGGAGCGTTTTCATTGATCGAGGATAACGTTCTGGGAATATACACAGGTAATGACGTACATCTCCCGCGGAAAAAGCTTTATCTGAAATCGTAGTGGCTTGAAATCACGAGACACCCTAGTTGCGGCTCAGGTGCTTGAAAAAGCATAACAAAAGTACATGCAAAGGAGACCCAACAGCCTTTCTCTTTTGGACAATTTTTGTAAAATTAACATCAGAAATTCCTTTTACATGTTTTAGACATTTCGGCATTGATAACTTAGAAAATTTATCAATTTATCTTAAACACATACATAGATATATACTTCATAAGACGATGGACAGCAACAAAGAATTGTAATTATATACGTACTTTATTTAACAATAGAAGAACATAAGTTTTGAACTCATAAACATTTTCAAGAAGTTAACGAACTTTTACTTTACGTAATTTCAAGTGATTCATCAATGTTAATATTATTTGTTCTGTAATAATTTCAGTGTATATTTGAATTATTTATTATAAATAAGTTCTTAGTTAAGTTTAGCCAGAAGTTCAGTTTTTCTGTCTTAGCCAACCCAGGGTTTGATTTCGAGTCTTACGCACGGTCAAGCGTACAATATAACATGTCAGGAATATTTATAACGATACTATGATACTATTTATAACTGCTGTCATTTTTGAAGAAATCTAATGTATTTTTCTAAACACAAAGTCAGTTTGTCGTATTATATTTTTGTTAAAAATATTCCGGACATGCTATATGACAGTTTATAAACGAGTGTTTGCAATACATGTATAACCATTTAAATAGGGCCATATAACCTGTCATAAATCATATAATGTCATAAAACTTATAATATAGATGTCATGATAATCTAATGTCAAGCGACGTAACAAACATGCATGCATAAAATTAACAATTTTCTTGGAATAATGAGTTTATTCTCTTTGACTATATGTGCGCATGCGCAGTTTGCAATTATCATAAGTGGCGTACTTATGATAAAGCTTGAACGAAGATAACAATATACAACAATATGAATTATTAAAAAAACGCCAAAAAATAAATATAAATAAATATAAATAAATTAATAATAAAATAAATAAATAAATAAATGTGTCCACATTAAGTAAAAAGTAAAAAAACTTACCGACGGCTGATAGATTTCAACTGTTTCTTTCTTCATTAGGTATGAATAGCCCGGTTCGAATTGTTGGTCACTACCCCAGGCCCACGTCAATCCCTCACAAGACCCATTGATGTCATCAATTTTCACAGCGAAGTAATCGTTATCATCGTATGCTTGTGCGCATGCTTTTCTTCTTGGTCCCCCATTTGCAAAGGAAATAATAGAATAATTTACAAATCTCATATCTGAAAAAGTAAACCTTAAAATGTATACAACAGACATGAAAACGACGAATGCGTACTTCATTTTTTTATCAAACAGATCTACTGTTTACAACATCACAAAATAATCTACAAAACAATTAATCACGCAGTTTTATGCAGAAATAATTAAAGTTTGAATTGGCAAATATTGACATACAATTAATATAAAAGACCCAGCACGACCAATATCAATGATTGAGTTTATTCTGCTAAAACATTTTATATTATAACTTTATAAGCTCCAATTTTATATAGCTTATACGTACATCTAAGACAGTTTAAAATCGAGAAGTTCACAAGCAAGAGTAGAATGCAATTAAGGATAATTCAGGGACAAGTTGTAATATGATAAGCAAATATCCATGTTCCATCGAACACGAGTACTCAGATGTTAAACATATATAGCACCGTTTCCAATATATGTTTTACAGCAATGTACAAGTCCAATACGATCAGTATGTTACGCTTACTCAACAATGTATTATAAACTGTTAATTTCAAAAAATCAATCAATGCTAAACCTTTGGACTAAAAACATGAAAATAAAAAGTGGAAAGATAACAAACAATATGTGTTAGATATACTAGTATTATATTTGGACTCGGAAAATGCAATCGAGGCTAAATTTACAAATTGGGTCAAAAATGATTCATATTGAATCATCCTGTGGTTCAAATGCTTTAGGCTCATTGGCTACTTTTTATAAGATAAGAAGTAAATTCCGATATCCTGATTCAAGCAAATTGTTTTGATAACTGTACAACATACAATAAATGCATAAAATGGTTTATCTGTTGCGAGAATGTCATAATGTAATATTTCCGCTAAAAAAACTGGCATCTTGTACAAATTCACTGCACGACAGACATTACGTCAAACTGAAATCACGTGATAAATTTCTACTGTTCAAATGAAATCACGTGATATATCAACATGTACTCGTACTGTAACACGGACAACACGAGATATATCTACTGAAAATACGTGGTATACATGTGTCTACTGTAAGACAGACAGCACTTGATAGTTTTTCTGTACTACAGACATCACGTGATTTATCTACTGTCAATCTGACATGACGTCATTTTATCTACTTTTACGACTTATGTATCTGCTCTACCACTCATTTATGGTAAAACGTGTTGACCGTCAAAAAACATATTTTAAGAAAAAATAAAGAAAAAACAATTGTAACGAAATATAAGTACATGCATTGTATATAAATAATCAACTTAATATGTGATATGTATACGATTTCATTTTAATGACACCACTCGCAAACAAATAAGTTAGTTATGTCGACCTTTGAAAATACGTCATTTAACATGAATTTAATCCACGTTATCGATTTTCTGAATTTTTAATTATTTGTATTCAATTTAATTAAAAGAGGGTTATAATTAAATCATTACTTTATAAAAACGTAATAAAACATGTGTAAACCATCTATAAAATAATTGATAAATCATCATTAAGTAATGCCTTTTTATAAATATTTGGAATTGTGTGTAAACACTTCAATTGTCAAACTTTCTTTTGTATAATGCAGGTAAAATCTAATTACAATTACAAATGTAAGTATTTGAGAAATATTTTAATTATTGGGCGTGTAAACTTTATCATTTAAAACAGTTGTTACTTCTACTTCAGACAAAATAAGCAAATAAGATTTTACCAAAAATCGTTATGCTTGACAAATACAACAAAATGTTTCAACATCTGTTTTATAAATTATTTTTCTCGTATTTAATGTTTAACACCTTTGTTGATATATTTTTTCAATATTGACTATATATAGAAAAAGATAAATGCTTTATCAAAGCCGACCGGTTATCTCAATATGTGGAATTTGAAATAAGGTGACCCAAGTTCGATTCCTGAACCCTGCAGGTCACTCCGTTGTTATTGATCATGAAATCTTTCTACGGTCATTTGCACTGTACCTCTGTCCTAGCATGTACAGAACTAATCAGATCCTTGCGAAAGTGAAAGCAACTTTTAATGGTAAACTGCTTAACGACCGGCTCAGGAACGATGCGGTGGCTGAACTGTGCTCTGTTAAATTCATTGTGGCTTACTGCCGTGATCCTGAGTGAAAACTTCCAACAGTAGCACCAATCAACTCTTTCGTGGGAAATGCTAACACTGCCAATCACTCCTGTAAAGCCAGTACAGTGTGTACATCGGTGCTGTATTTCAACACGATATTTTGATGTTTGACCGATTTTTATGTTTATACCATAAATAATTCTTTTTGTAGTATTAAATATCATATTTGAAAACAAACAAAGTATCCATGGTTATCGCATGACCGCCACAACTTTTCTTTGAAGATGGGCGTTTTTTAAGTAATAGTTGCTGGTATCAGCGCATGGGGCGACAACAAGGGTCAATCGTAAGAAATTATTCGAGACGGAACGTCTTGATGAATTTTCATGATTGACCCTTTTGTCGCCCCATGCGCGGATAGTCCGTAACTGTTTTATCGTATGACCATCACGACTTTTTTCTTGGAGATTTACGCTCTTCGTAATATTTGCTTTATTTTAACATATAAATATTTTAAGAAATGCTCATAGAAATATACCCATTAGATGCCGTTGAAGGAACTGGACATAAATAACCATTTGACGAGGTAAGTTGATGCATTTTTTCTGAATGTGAAACATTAATCATCTTTCCAGCTCATTTTCAAAATATAATCTAGGAAATATTGTTGATAAGAGTCCCGTTCTATATTTCAGAGGTATATCTTGTACGCGTGTTTTTTAAAACTAACGACAACTAATAGTTATAGTACATGAAACGAGTTAGTTACGAGGAAAAGGGGTGTTTCTGCTAAAAAAATGGCGAGGCCGCAAGTCAGAGAATTTTTTTTTTGCAAAAACATCCCGAAATGTCGCCCCAGTCAATGTTATACCCCCGTAACTAACGAGTTTTATATACTATAACTGTTTTCTCGCAATGACGTGACATAATGTTTTCTTTTTTGTAATAGAAACAAACAAATAAATAAATAAATAAATAAATCGTTAGCTACATTACAGTTACTTATGATAAGGCAGTTTTTTCAAGTTTTTTCGCTACCGCAAAAAATATACAAAAGACATCCAATACAATGTTAGAGGCGGATTGTAAAAGATTGATTCAAGATTAAAGGGCTTTTTTCAGTGGAAATAATTCATTCAGCGGATGTACCTATTGATTAAATGAGAGTAAATTTCATTTCATTAATTATCTTTGTTTATATTTTTCACTGTATTTATATATTTATTTTATTTTATTGATTCAATTTTTTTTATTTTATTTTATTTTTACCACTGGGAATGGTCGTTACCACTGTCCCATTGGAGCCTCTATGAAACAAACTGCATTGATATATACAAGGTGCGAAAAAAAAATCAACCGATATATAACAGTCGAGTTTTTTTCCTATATGAATCAATGAAAAACTGTACTGCTATAATTATATCAATACAGTTTTCAAATGATCATTGAAGTATACTGAGTATAATGGGTTAGTAAGAACAAAGGAACAGTTCCAAACCATGTGATAATGTAATGATTATTTCTTAACACTACTTCCATGCTAGAATATTATGTTCATACGTGTAGTGATTTTCTGAGTGGCTTACTGGTCAGAATCTCCTGTAAAACGAAGGCATTGTTTAAAACAAAAAAATGAATAATTTGATCATTGTTTCAGATTTGTCCTGGAGGTCAGGATGCAGAAAACGGCGATTACTTTCCACTGGAGTCAACATTATTTATTATAACTGCATTTTCAAGTTTTGAGAAAAAAAAGAGATCGAGATGATATGTAAATATTAAAAAAAAAAGTTCTGTCAACTGTGTTATGTTTTGTTTTGCTCTTTTTCAGGTAAACTCACTTTACAATTTGAAATAAAATAATAAACTGGGCATGCGCGAGAAAGTGTACTGATACCTCATTTAGAGCACCCAAAGCGTACTGATACCTCATTTAGAGCACCCCAAAGTTTTCCAATACTGAAATTTAGAGAACGCCGATCTTCAAAAGAAAGTCGTGGCGGTCATGCGATAAATTTCAATATTGGAAAAAATTGGGGTGCTCTAAATGAAGTATCAGTACGCTTTGCGGTGCTCTTAATAAAGTAACGGTACACTTTCTCACGCATGTCCAGTTTATTATTTTATTTCAAATAAAAAAATGAGTATACCTGAAAAAGAATAAAACAAAAGATAAAACAGTTAAAAGAACTCCTTTTTATTAACAAATTTACAAATCTTGTCTATCAGTGTTTTTTCTTTTTCTCTTCAAAACTTGAAAATGCACATATTATAAACGTGTTGACCTCCTCCGGGCAAAGGTCCGGGCTTAAAAGCGGTCTATTGGTTGTCTTTGGGTTCATTATCACTTGCGTCATGTGGAAGCGATTCTGTTGATTGTTTATTCAACGTTTCGCTTTTTACCACGACTTGCTCTGTTGATTTCCATTCCGGCGGATTTAGTTTATTGAACATTTCTGGCAGCGAAGGAGCGGATGCACTGAATGGGTGTTTTTCTATGTGTATTTCTAAAAAATATTATTTGTTTAAATCATGCGATATTACGAGAGAGCGACAGTCGTAAATCTCATGCGATAAAACAGTTACCGGCTGGTATCAGCGTAAGGGCGTTTTTATCAATATCTGAAACACTTACAGAAAGTGTGCCCATTCCTCTTAATGACGGACAATTTCATACTAACAATGCAGTTGTTTATGTGGTTTCCTAGCAAGAAGTTCTAGTAAAGTTGTTCTAATGGTTCTGCTCAATTAAACATCTGGGCCATGAGGGCTAAAGTAGATTTTTGAAATGAAATCTTTAAAAATCTTCTCTTAAAGAGATATTTTGTGTGTAGCATCATCTAATGAAACTCTACAAAAATTGTTCAAATTATAGCCATGGGGTCAAAATTGGCCCCGCCCCGCGTGTCTTTGATTTTCATAATAAACATATAGTTAAAACTTCCAAAAAAAACCCTTCTGTATGTACAAGGCCTAGAGCTTAGATATTTTGTG